ATAGTGGCGAGGAGGCCACAACAAATGGAGCAGAGAACAAAATGAAGAAGACAAACTGACAGCTACTGACAGAAAAAGAGCTTAACAGAAATGAGGCAGAGAAGATTGGATGATAGGAACAGCTATTTTGGAGAAAATGACATCTTAATAGGTAATACAGATTTAGTATCATCTTGTTTTGAAGTCTCATCTAGCTTTTGTCCTTCTGTCTCCAATGGTCTAAATAGGCTGTATCTTATTGGATTTTATTATGTACGATAGTATAAGCAAAAACCTTTTAAAGACAAGGAGATTATACAGAAACCATTGTTCATTTTCTGTTAGTCGATTCTAAATACTCTGTAATGCTGTCATTCTCTTGAATGGTTTTACATTGTTTTGATATACTTAATGCTACAGTATACGAAGTTGTACTCAAGGATTTCAAAGAAAGAAACAATATGGCAACTACTTTTAGGTTAGGATTATCTGGTGGTGAAACACTATTCTGCTTAAATGGTTATGTTTTGATCTGCGCTGTTTCGTTGTTATGCCCTCTTTTATCTCAATCTCCACTCCATTATTTACTTTTTTATCTTTATCCTTTTAATTAAAGGAAAAAAATAGCAGGATATATTATAGTAACCCATTTTGACTTTTCATTACCTTGATTTAAAGCCCTGTATTACTCTCACCATCTGGTTTTTAACTGATGTTCCCCTATTCTGTTTTGCTGGATAGTATCAGGTTCGAAAGTTTAGGCATCAGCTGTGAAGATAATGAGATTCATTATGACGCCCATTCTTGTTGACTTTTATCTACTTTTGAAGACCTACAATGTCTCCAATGTTTTGGTTTTGTCGGTTTTATTCTTTACTGTTTTGTTCAATTGTATTATAACTAATGATATAGGCAATTCTATTAGAGATAGCGGGAGACATTACGGTAACCATTGTTGATCACCTGTATTATGTTTTTACATTATCTATTATGTCCACCCTTTTGACTTGACCGATTCTGTTCTGTTATGTCACATTTGGTTTTACTCTCTTCCAAAAAAGTAATAAGAACCGTGGGAGCAATGAAACCCAAAATGTGTAATAGTCATGGTACAAAAGAGAGGAAAAGAAAGTACTCTAAACTATATAACTGCATGTATATTTAAGTGTATAAGATAGAAAATGATATCACAGAGTTTTATTGGATCAATGAACAGAACTGTTTGCAGTATCATTGATGGAATGTCCACTTTACAAGCTTTAATTTTGTGACTTGAACAATTATTTCTAAGATGACAATATGTAATCCATTAACTAGTGATTTCCTACTGTTCATTTTTTTTCTGTAAATCTGTATAACTTGTACCCTTTCCCTGCTTTTTTTTTCTTTTCTCCTTAAATAAAATTAAAAAAAAAATAAAATAAAATTGAGTAAGAGTGGTGACAGTGGAATCTTTGTCTTATTCTTGCTTTTTGAGAGGACTTTTTTGGTTTTCCCGTAGTTAGCATAGTGTTTTCAGTGTGTTTGTCATAAATGGTGTTCATCAATTTTAGGTAAGGTGCTTCCATGCCTATTTTCTTTAGGTTTTTATTTATTTACTTTAAAAGGATTAAGATAGAACAATAAAATGAAACAAAACCAAAGAGTGATAAGACAGTATGAAATCCACAAAAGTTACTATATTGCATATTGTTATCCTCTAAATAGTTGCTCTGACTACTGGCTTTAGGCTTGAAAAACTAATCAAACAATAAAAGGCTTAGGTTGTTTCTTTAATTCAGTTGTTATCATCCTAGCCTGTATTCCTCCAAATCAACCAGTTGCATATCGGGATGTGAGGAATGTAGGGGGTGACCTTTTCTTTTGGCTGTCCCACAGGGGTGTGTGACTTCCTTTCTGGTTTTCCCCAGCCAGCAGGTCTGTCACAGGTACATGGAAGGGCTGTGTAGCTTACTTACTATTTTCTCCTTGGCCAGTAGGGCCAGTTTTGGTACACTGTGGCTGTGTAGCTTCTTTCCTCTTTCTCCTCAGCTGGCAGTGCCACCACTGGCACACAGGGGACTGTGTAGCTTCTTTCCTGGTTCTCCAAGATGGCAGGATTGCTGCTGGCACAGAGCGCAATGCGTAACTTCCTTCCTGTTTCTCCCCAGCTGGTAGTGTCACTGTGGTGCACAGAGGGCTGCATAGCATTCTTCCTGTTTATCCCTGGCCAGCAAGGCCACCGGGGTTTGTTTTAATCATGAATAGATTTTGAATTTTTGCCAAATTCTTCTCTGCTTCTGTAGATATGATCTTGTGATTTTTGTCCTTTTCATGTGGTGTATGACATTCATTGATTTGTATATGTTGCTGCATTCTTTCATCTGGGATGAAGCTACCTTGGCCATGATGTATGATCTTTTCATTGATGTGTTTAATTCTGTTTTCAAGTATCTTTTTGAAGATTCATACATCTATTTCACTAAGGATATCAGCCTATAGTCTTCTTTCTTGCTTGCATCTTTGTCCAGTTTTGATATTATGAAATGCTGGCTTCAAAGAATGAGTTTGGCATTATTTTTCAGTGTCCAGTAAGTTCTCTCTTTTGATTGATTATATGTCCTAGCATGGCTTTCAAGTGTGTTTTTCATTAGCAGGGTTTCACTTGAGGTTTTTCATAACCTCTTTTTTTTTTTTTTTTACTAAATTGATCATTATAATCTGCAATCTTGATTCAGTCATCTGTTTGCGTCTTCTTTAAGCTCATGAGCATCTTTTTAAGTCTGCTTCTTATCTGCTTATTTAAATCTTCTTTGAGCTCATTGAACTTCTTATGCATTTGCTTATTTGTTTCTTTTGACCTTTCACACATTTTAACTATTTAGTGTTTAAGTTCTTGGTGACAATGATGTGAGCAGCTTCCCTTTTCAGCAGCCCCTTCTACCATGCCATTTTCTATGTTTGACTCTACCACTCATAAACTGAAACTCTTAAGGAACATAAACAAAAATAAACCTCTCCTCCTTTATTAAATTGTGGGTGTTGGATATTATATTCTAGTATTGAGAAAGTGACCAAAAAGGAGTCCTTTGTTCCTTAGTTTTACTGTTTGTTTACTCTGTTCTTCTTTTACCCCCAAGTGAATTTGTGAGCCAGAGTTCCTTTGTGCAGGAATATCTGCCAGATGGGATGATGCGTAAAACTTCTTTTCTTATCCCTTTGTTATATGGTTATTCTTAGGTCTTTTTCTTCCATTGTATTGTTATGGATTCTTAGGTGAACTCATAAATACTTTCAGATTATTTTTGTTCATACATAGTTGCCAAACTCTTGCTTTTTATGGGCAAAAAGGAAGGCTGGAATGTCTTACTGTGCTGTTGCATTGATGTCTTCTACTCAAAATCCATTTCTAATTATTAGGTGCATTTTGCTATTATTATGAGTAATATTTTTAAAAATTTCAACTTCGTATAATGTGGTGTTTGTAGAGAAATACAGTTGCTTTTTATACACTGACTTTTGTACTTTGACCTTTTATTCTGACACATTACTTAATTCACTAACTTGTAGATTTCTTTTGATTGATACATATAGTCATAATCTCTGGGCAATGACAGTTGTATTCTTTTCAATATATATATTATGCTTTCCTTTTCTTTATTATTTAGCTGGCTGTGACACTTAGTACAATGTTAACCAGAAATGAGTACATTTTTGTCTTTCTGTATTTTTTTTTCTTTTTGTCTTTTTGAGACAGAGCCTAACTACGTAGTTCAGGCTGACCTTGGGCTCACTTTGTAGCCCAGGCTGGTCTGGAACTTGCAATGATCTGCCTGCCTCAGGCTTCCCAAGTGCTGGGATTACAGGAGTGTGCCACCATGCCCAGCTTATCTTTCTGTTCTTATGAGCAAGCAATCTATATTTTTCTATTAAAAAGAAATCAGCTTTGGATTTTCATGAATACCCTTTGTTACACCGTGGTAGTTTTTCCTTCTATTCCCAGTTTGCCCATAGATTTTTATCATACATGTGTTTATTTTAAATCGTTATTTTGTATTTATTAAAGTAATCATATGATTTTTCTCCTTTAATTAATTTGGTAAATAAAATGGGATAAATCCCTCATACTTACAGTATATTACTCTTCTTAGGCATTATTTTCCTTCTTTTCTGAAGTCTGTAACAACTCATCTTAGTATTTTTGTCTATTTTTATTATCTGTTTTTTCTCTTCTACTTTGTTAATGCCTTAACTTCTCATGCATTTGGTTATTTTGGTTAAGTACTAAACGATATATAAGAAAAATTTTAAGATTTATAAAAAACTTTACTTTGAAGTAGTTTTAACAGAATAAATGAGAACTATACAAGAAACATTCAAATAGCATTTATCCAGTTTCACCTATTAACTTTTAATTATCTTTGTTATATCATCTCAGTGTACTCTCCCTCCCTCAGTGTTATTCTCATCCTCTTTTCTATACACACATACACACACACACACACACAGACTCACATTTTGTTCCCTCAGTATATATCTTTTGTACACATTTTGGCTTCCTTATCTCTAACTCTAATTTAAAGCTCTGGATGATGATTTATTCAGAAATATTACATTTTATTTTATTTTTAAGTTTTTTAAATTTTTCTAGCTGTTTTCAGTGGCAGAGTAAAATAAAACAATCTAATCTCTTATTGCCAGAAGTAAAATCTCTGATTTATCTCTTTATATACCACCACCAGCATTATATTTGCCATGCTCTGCTTTACTTTTGTTATACTCTCTATTGTCTCATTACCCTTCTATTTCAGAATTTCTTTACTGTTCCCACTGTTTCAGTTGTCTTCTAAATGAACTTAATCATTAGATTGTTCAGTTGCCAAATAATTTCTTTGGAAATCTTTATCATTAAATGAATCAATTTAAGAATGTTTGCCATTATTTTAGTATTACTGCCCAACAATAGGTTCTGTCTTTCATTACTTCTTTGGAGGCCTTTAGTATCCTTTCTCTTTTGTTTTATTTTTTTTCTCTTTCCACAGCAAGATGGATTCTGGATATACTCTGAATATTGCAACAACCATCTGGACGCCTGCATGGAGCTTTCCAAGCTGATGAAGGACAGCCGCTACCAGCACTTCTTTGAGGCCTGTCGACTCTTGCAGCAGATGATTGACATTGCCATTGACGGCTTCCTTTTGACTCCAGTGCAGAAGATCTGCAAATATCCCTTACAGTTGGCTGAGCTCCTCAAGTATACAGCCCAAGATCACAGGTAAGAGATTAAAGGAGACAAGAATGAGTTTCTTTCACATGTTTGTCCTTATTGAGAATGCATTTCCTTTTGCCATCTCTGATCTTCTATTAGTTTATCTGCAAAACAAAATGATATATTATCGTTTACCTCACAAGACTGCCATGTATAAAGTGAGGGAATGCTTTTAAGAATTGCATGTAGAGGCTGGTGTTTACCTCAGCAACACAAGCACCTGCCTGGCAAGTGCAAAGTCGTGAGTTTGATGCCTGGTTCAAAAAAATAGTTTCATATAAAATTATAAATCAGTATATACACAAAATCTCTATACATCATCATTATTGCACAACTTATACCCTAACTTCAAAGAGTGGAGCTTATGTACAAAGTCTGCCAAAATATGTATACATCAGGAAAAGAAAGCCTTGTATAAATAATATTAAATTTATTGAGACATCATAAGATTAATACAAGTTACCTTTGGCCTATACAATTACAAAAGGTGCTTAAAGTGGTGTCTATTAACTTCCAGTTATTTATTAGTCTGGCAGACTGCTGAGGTATACATTCTTTGGTATATAGCTTGTTCCATAGTCCTGAATTTAGCCTCATTAATCAACCCTGATACAAAAAATTTTTATCTGTATATTCTGCTTTACTTGTAAGATCCAAATTTTTGTTAACAGCTTTCCCAACTTATACTGAACCTAGACTCCTTCTGCATGGCTATCTCCCTGGGCTCCTTTAACCTTTCCACTCTCTCCCCTACCCCAATTGTACATTTTCCATAGATCCAGTGTATGCCTGGGGAAAAATATACTTGAGACTTTTCATGAAATTCTTTCAAAGTTTTTAAGTAGTTTCAATCCAACAAAGACCAAGGAGGTTACCTCTCTCTGAATGAAAAAAGATATCCCTCACCTCCTACCAGTAAGGTACATGCTGAGAGTAATGCTGAATGGTAGGGATGGCTGACAGCAAACCATTTCCACTCTTTCACATAATGACTTAGAACTTTAGCTTGTGTCTGGTCTGCTTTTAACTGATGTTAAATCCCTGATCTTAGATTTGTTGGCTCAACTGTTAGCTCTCTTCCTTAAGAGAAAAAAGATTAAGCACGCAAGAAAGAAGGAGGCCCAATTTCTTTTTGCTTTCTTTCTCACTCTTCCAGGTCTGCTTCCTGGATTTATTTGGATCTATTATGAGGTTTGCCTGGGGCTGATTTCTAAATCTAGATGCCTAAGGTTATAGTTATAGGCCAGATGATTTGGTGTATGTCAATCTTCTAGGCCAATCCCTTGATTCATTTTGAAGTTGATGTTGCTTCTTTGATAAAAGAAAAGTGACAGACAGTAAATCTATGTTGAAGCAGGGCCATAAAACATAAGTAATAATCTGAAAATTTAGCTTTTAAAACAATTTTCTAGTTTTTTTTTTTTTTGTGCTCAAGGAAGTTTGTGGGTGATTATACTAGCTGTTCTTTGAGTTCTGGCACCTTATTGTGTCATGAGTTTAAATGACCTCCATAATTATACTGGATGGTACTTAGTGACTATCATATTGAAATCTCAGTGGAACTGTCTTCATGCCAGTAGCTTTAAAACCTAAATGAGTGGTTCTCAAATATATACACCTTCTCAATAACCTACTTCCTCAGTATCTGTTCCACGGAAACAGCAGGAGGCGCTAACAGTCATACTTGACTGATAATATTCATTAGGTAAATTGTATATCACAAAATTGATTTTAAAAGTCCCAGAAAGACCACTTTTAAACATCTTATTACATCAAAACAACCCCAAGGCTTTGTTGAGTTTGGTAAGAGAAGGCAAAATAGCTGCCTAGGCTTTGCCATTTCTGTGTTCTTTTAATTTGTGACTGAAACTTGTGCCTCAAAGAACTCTTGAACCTGTGATTTTCTCTCCTCTCCTCCTCTGTGCTCCAGAGCACTGAGAACCATAACTAAGACAATGGCTATGTATCCATCTCTGTCCACATTTGTAATGACTTGCTGGACCCAGTACTATCTCTAGAAAATGATCAAATCATTTTTGCAGGTCACAAGAAGCTATGTTAAGATGACAGTACCTACCATGCATGTTAATGTTTTTTTGGGTTCAATAGAAAATAGAGGCTACTATGAGCTTAGAAGCTTAGTGAGATACGTGTTCAGATAGATAAATCTGAAATGAAGGGAGTCAGAATGACCTCTGAAGAAGAGGATTAGATGTAATGCAATCAATGGAAAATAATATTCCTTTTGCTTATAAAAAGGTGACACAATTTCCCTACACAACCTTTCTTAAAGAAATAAGAAAGAAGATTATGAACAAATGGGAGTTAACTGACATGTATGAATCCTGAAAATTTTGATTCCAGTACTCTTCTCAATCAGAGGTGGGGTCCAGGACCCAGTGGCTCTGACCAGAGTTCAAACCACACAACAACCATTCTCTTCTTTTTATATTCACTAGTTTTAAAGCTAGTAGGACAGGTAGGAATCAGGAAAATTCCTCCACTAACCACTGTGTGAAAGGTAGCCAAATAAAATACAAATATGAACAGCACGAGACAGTGGCAGTATGGCTGGGTAGTAACTATTGTCAAGCAGACCACTAACTTTGAGTTAGATGGTACTTGACATCAGCAATGAGCATTCTCATGCAAATACTGTCCAATAAAACTTTTTTGCTGTGACATAAATATTGTTCTGTCCTGTATCATAGTCTTTGGCCAAATGTGCCTATTGAATACTGAGAAATGTGCAACTGAGGGACTAAATTTTTAATCCTATTTAATTTTAATTAAATATTAGTAATATTAACTGCTGATTATTGTATTGAAGCGTGTGTCTCTATATTTTACTTCAAAAATGGCTTAAAGTACTGAATTTTTCATATCAGATAAAGAAAAGTCACAAGGAACAGGAAACTGACCCCAAAGAGCAGGAATAGTTATTTATATCAGCAGCTTCCTCACAATAACTACCCCTGCTTTCATTACCCTACCCTATGTATAAACAGCACACTCAAAAAACCTTGCCAGGAAGAAACTTTGGCAAAATTATAGAGCCTAAAACATCACCCAGAGAGTAGAGCAAGTAACTAAAAAGGATGAAATGTTATAGGAACAAGTGTAAAATTTTGTAAGTTAGGCTAAAAATCAACACCTCAGAGTGATAACAGCTTCTCATTAACATGCTTTTTTTTTTTTTTAATTTTATTTAAGGAGAAAAGAAAAAAAGCAGGGAAAGGGTACAAGTTATACAGATTTACAGAAAAAAAAATGAACAGTAGGAAATCACTAGTTAATGGATTACATATTGTCATCTTAGAAATAATTGTTCAAGTCACAAAATTAAAGCTTGTAAAGTGGACATTCCATCAATTATACTGCAAACAGTTCTGTTCATTGATCCAATAAAACTCTGTGATATCATTTTCTATCTTATACACTTAAATATACATGCAGTTATATAGTTTGGAGCACTTTCTTTTCCTCTCTTTTGTACCATGACTATTACACATTTTGGGTTTCATTGCTCCCACGGTTCTTATTACTTTTTTGGAAGAGAGTAAAACCAAATGTGACATAACAGAACAGAATCGGTCAAGTCAAAAGGGTGGACATAATAGATAATGTAAAAACATAATACAAGGTGATCAACAATGGTTACCATAATGCCTCCCACTATCTCTAATAGAATTGCCTATATCATTAGTTATAATACAATTGAACAAAACAGTAAAGAATAAAACCGACAAAACCAAAACATTGGAGACATTGTAGGTCTTCAAAAGTAGATAAAAGTCAACAAGAATGGGCGTCATAATGAATCTCATTATCTTCACAGCTGATGCCTAAACTTTCGAACCTGATACTATCCAGCAAAACAGAATAGGGGAACATCAGTTAAAAACCAGATGGTGAGAGTAATACAGGGCTTTAAATCAAGGTAATGAAAAGTCAAAGTGGGTTACTATAATATATCCTGCTATTTTTTTCCTTTAATTAAAAGGATAAAGATAAAAAAGTAAATAATGGAGTGGAGATTGAGATAAAAGAGGGCATAACAACAGAAACAGCGCAGATCAAAACATAACCATTTAAGCAGAATAGTGTTTCACCACCAGATAATCCTAACCTAAAAGTAGTTACCATATTGTTTCTTTCTTTGAAATCCTTGAGTACAACTTCGTATACTGTAGCATTAAGTATATCAAAACAATGTAAGACCATTCAAGAGAATGACAGCGTTACAGAGTATTTAGAATTGACTAACAAAATGAACAATGGTTTCTGTATAATCTCCTTGTCTTTAAAAGGTTTTTGCTTATACTATCGTACATAATAAAATCCAATAAGATACAGCCTATTTAGACCATTGGAGACAGAAGGACAAAAGCTAGATGAGACTTCAAAACAAGATGATACTAAATCTGTATTACCTATTAAGATGTCATTTTCTCCAAAATAGCTGTTCCTATCATCCAATCTTCTCTGCCTCATTTCTGTTAAGCTCTTTTTCTGTCCGTAGAGGTCAGTTTGTCTTCTTCATTTTGTTCTCTGCTCCATTTGTTGTGGCCTCTCTGCCATTATTTCTGGATTCTTTGTATTTTTCTTTTTTTAGAATATCCTGCAATACTCTCTGTAGAGTTGAATTGGTGGTTGCAAATTCCCCCAGTTCCTCTTTATCCTGGAAGCACCTTGTTTTTCCATCAATTTCCAGGGACAGTTGTGCAGGATATCTCAATCTTGGCTGGAGATTATTATCTTTCAATGCTTGAATTATTTCCCCCCACGCTCTTCGTGATTTGATGGTTTGTGCAGAGAAATCTGCTGTAATTCTGATGGGTGTTCCCTTGTAAGTGGTCTGTTTCTTGTCTCTTACAGCTTTTAATATTCTGTTCTTGTATTGAATTTCTGGAATTTTTATTATTATATGCCTGGGTGTTGCTCTGTTTGGGTTGTAGGTAGCTGGGGTCCTGTATGCCTCATACATCTGAGTATCTTTACCTTTT